CTGTAGATAGAAATGTGTATTATATTGTTGTTGGATGAAATACTCTGTAATTAATTCCATTTTTTAATGGTGTGATTCACCTCTGACATTTCTTTCTTGATTTTTTTTGTGTTTGACCTCTTTATTTGTAAGAGCATGGTATTGAAATCATATATATGATATATATATATCATATATATGATATATATCTATTATATACATATAATAGTTTTGTTTTATCAAGTTGGTTGTGACATCATTTGGTGCATACATACTTAAATTAGCATCTCTTCCTATTGAACTGTTCACTTTACTAGTATATAGTGAACTTATTTATCTCTCTGTTCAGTTTTGGCTTGAAGTTCACTTGTCTGAAAATAAGATAATTACTGCTATTTGCTTTCATGCTCTGGTTGCATGCAGTTTGTCTTCCATTTTTTCCCCTTGAGTCTTTTTTTTTTTTTTTTTTTTGGTAGATGAAGTGTCTCTTCCTGACCTCATATGACTGGTTTTGCTTTTTAAAATCCAATCTTCCAGGTTGTGTTTTTTGATTGAGTACTTAAAAACATTGGCACTGAGTATTATCATTCTAAGGCATTTATTGAATCATTTCATTGTATTGTTTTCCCTGTACTGATTCCTTCATGTTTTCCATTCATATAACCACTCTCCCAGTTAGAAAGTTTCCTTCCTTTGGGCTTTCTGGTGATGTTGGCCTCATTGTCTCTGTTTAGGATATTTTTAAAGTACACACTATAGTTCTAGCTCGGTTGCCATGAATTTTTTAGGGTTTTTTTCATTGTTGTGGAATATTTCCATGTATCCATCAATTTTGAAGGATGATTTTGTAGGATATAGTAATCTGGGTTGTCCATATGGCTTGCAAAGCTTTGCCTGAAATTCTCCTTACTTTTAGGTTTTGTGTTGAAAAAACTGTTGTATTTCTGCAATGCTTATCTTCATAGGTTATTTGATGTTTTCTCTAACAGCTTGTAGTATTCCTTTTGTACAAAATTTCTCAGATTTTAACTATAATGTGCTGTGGAGAGGTTCTTTTCTACCCTTGGCTGTTTGAGGTCCTATTAAATTGTTTCCTTAGATCTGGAAAATTTTGTGGTATGATTTTGATCAATAATATTTTATACTTTAGTGTCTTTTCTAACATTTCCCTTAGTTCTATAGTTCTTGGATTTATTTTCAGAAATCTAGTGGTTTCCATGGGGTCTTATTATTTTTATCTACTAAATGAAATTTGTCTTTATTCTGACAATCTCCCTTCAGATTGGTTATTCCTGAAGGTAAAGTACAAAATTACTGACAGTTGCTTCACAGCTTAAAACCTCTGCTTAGTTATCCTAGAAAGCTTGGACCTTTACTCATACTAATTAATTGCTCCCCCCCTGCCAGCCTTCTTCTCTTTCTCTAAGTTCTTTGATCATGTATCAACATATGGAGCTTAGGAGACTCATACTTGGAAATTTCCTTATCTTTCCCAAGTCTGAAATTAATTGACACATATATTACTAATGCAGGAATTTTATGATCTATTAATACCTTTACTGGAGCATTGCTTAGATTTGCAGCCACAACAAAATGTACAATTCCAAGAAAGAAAAACAGCAAAATAGCTTCGGATATGTAACCATTCGTTTCAATAGTATATCATCACTAGGTTGAAACAGATCCCCCAAATCTAAGCTACTCGATTCCAAGGAAGAGTTTATCTGTTAAACTTACTACATAGTAAGGAGAAGACCAGAGAATACACTTTATGGGCCCAGATATACAATGCAGCTGCAGAGGAAGAGTACATTCTGGGCGGGCTCAATTTCAAGTCAACAATTTCCCTGTAGGATAAGTAACTTCTTCCACATCCCCCCGCTCATTATCTCTGTCCTAAGAAAGAGGATGGGGAGAGCATAGAGAGATAATTGAAGTGTTCTTCCCACACTACTGAATACCAGAGTAGAATTTTTTTTTCCTTTATATGGAAACATAAAGAGGGAAATGTAAAAGTTAAAATTGAAATAATAGGCTATCATTTTACTCTATTCTGATTTATAATTAAAAGAGCTAGAGAAACCCCACAAAGGAAAGAGAAACAAACACATAAAAACTTCAAGAACTAAGAAGAGGAGCTAATTAGTGTCAAAATCTGGTAGGGATTTCACTTAAGTGAAATGCAAGGGGACTTTTGTCATGTTATTGATAATGCTGGAGATGGTGAAGAAGTAAGGACAACTTTTTTGATGTACTCTTCTTTTTTGATGTATTCTCTTTCTCATAGGGAAGAGAATCTGCCAGGAAAATAGGTAGCATTTGAGCATGGCATGGAAAAGCTTCTTTTTTATATTAATTAATTATATTTATTGGTATGTTTTATTTATTTTTAAAAATTAATTAAGTTTATTGGTACATTTTAGGTATACATAATGATCACATTCATCATAGGATATTTGTAATTGCACATGATATATCTTGAATTATTTTTTCCCATTCTACTCCCCTCAGCCCCTTTCCCCCCTCATTTACAAAAGATTTGTTTCCATTTTTTCCTTCTTTTCTTGTTTTTTTTTTCTTTTCCCTTCCTTCCTTTCCCTTTTCCTCCTCCTTTGTTTCCCTTCCCATTGGAACAATTTTTTTCCTATTTCACAATATCTATTAAACAATTTGGTCTTTATTTACACTTTAGATTTCTCACACCAGAGAAACAATGTGATATTTATACATGGTTGCCCTACTTATTTTGCTTAAGTGTATGGTCTCAAGGTGCACCCACGTACCTAGAAATGTCTCAAGTTTATCCTTCTTTATGGTTGAGTGTTACTGCATTGTATAAAAAAGTTCCACATCTTCTTTATCCATTCATCAGTTGATGGGCATCTGGGCTGTTTATAAGACTGAAGGAAAAGCTTGTTAAGGTTTCTAGTTTATGAAAATACATTATTTTTATAAGATCTTATTCTATATTCTGGCTCTATATTTCCTCCAAACATGGCATTATTAGAAATGTAATTGGATTTGAATGCCAATATTTCTGTTATAAATTGAAGACTAAGTATTATTTTTCTATTACAACATGAAGATGTTTTTTCCCAGAAGATCAGACTATGACGCTCTTGCTCCCTATAAAAGTAACATCCGAAACATTAGGAGAAACAAGGTGAATCGGTTCATGATATCTTTAATGCATCTCTTATTCACTGATAGAGTGTTATATATTCAAGGGTAAATAAAATGTTTTTCTAAAAGTAATTGGTCTATGTGGCTTGTTGCAAAGAAATTTAGGGGCAGCAGAAAAGACAGAAGAAAATATTAACCAGTTACTCACTGTTGCTCCTCCAGCCTTCCTGGTCCAACCAATAAGGAAGCACTACTTCTTTTTGTATCTGCCCTCTTATGCTTTGCTCTTCTCCTGAATGTGGTGATGTTGATCATAAATGCCATCAGAGTTCCAGGAAGTAATATATTCCCAAATCTCATGAATGAGAGAAAGCATAAAATACAGAAACAAATAATCAAGTATTCTCCTGTTTTCTTTCTATAATTGGGATGGAATCACTACTTCTGTTTCAGGGAAAAATACAGTTTTACCCTCATTCTAGGAGTGGTGGTACATGACTGTAATTCTCTCTACTGTATTCTGAGACAGAGGATCAGATGTTCTCCAGGCTGAGACTGTAGGACCAGACTTCCAAGACCACCCTGTGCAAATTAGGTAGACACTGTCTTGAAATACAAAGTAAATGGACTGGGAGTATAGCACAGTACTAGAACACTTGCCTAGTAGGAATGTTGTCCTGGGCTGAATGCTAGTACTCCACTCACCAAAAGTAACTTTTATCTACAATCTCTGGGAATACCATAGAAGACTTGCATTCATAAGTAGAATTCTTTCTAATTATGTGTGTAACAAAATTCTACAGCATAAGAGAAGTGCATATATGTTACAATTCTGAAGAAAATTATTCTGGAGGAATTTAAACAAGAAGTAGAGACACTGGAACTTTAAATGTAGCCAACTAAGTGGAACGGAAACAAAAATCAAAAGTACATTTAAAAATTTGTTCAAATTCTCAGTAGTTTAGCCTGTGCATTGAGGGGTATCAGTAAATAGCAATAAAATGAGGAAAAGAAATTAAAAGGTGAAACCAGAGTCTCTTGAAAGTTTCAGTTAAGGAAAAACATCCTTCAAATTTAAATAAGAAAATACACTTCCTCAGAAAGGAACAGAAAAAAGGTAGCCTCAAGCTTCTTTAGAACAATAGACATGAGAAAACAATTTTGTGACTCACAAACTCCATATGTCTCCACGTTGTTATTTATGGTGGACAGCAAGAGAAAAACAGTCTCAGAAATAAAGGGCTGAGAAAGAATAGTATCCATATAAACAAATATTTGGCAACATGGCCTGTGCCAAAGTGATGTACAAAATAAACAAATTATGATTAGCAGGAAATAAGAAAATCAGTTGAAGATAAAATTAAATCGAAATAATTTTAATAAAATATGCAAATAGTACAATAAAATTTTAAAAGTACATAATTCTAAAATACAACCAAAATAGAATCAGAGCTCAATATATGTGCATTGTCAATCTGCCATATTTGTGAATCCTACATTTTCAAATTGCCTACTTGCTCAAATTTATACATAACGCTAAAGTCAATACTTGTGCTACTTTCTAACATGCACAGAGTAACCAAAATTTGAATCACCTGAATCACTTGTTCCTAGATGACATGATATTTGGCTTTTGTTTCAGCCCTCATACTGCAAATTGTGTCTTTCTTGTAGAGTACTTAGTGCTGTGTTTTCTATGCCTGTTGTCATATGATGTGCAGTGTCTCTCTGTGGGAAAAATATCATTCCTTAACTCATTAACGTCACTGTAAATTATACAACCAGTTTGATCAATAACATGTGAGTAATTATGACTTTGTATAATACTTCCCAGGGAAAGATGAAAATATATTTGTGAATTTCAACAGATCTTCTGTTTATTTACTTCTAATGAGCTCCAAAACTCTCACAGCTTGGTTTCCAGGATGGTGAAGACAGCAGAGTGGAGCCATAGACCTGCAGCCAATGAGTAAATTAATGGAAGGTAAGGAAAAAGAATTCATTACCACTTGTATTTCTGTAGCAACAGGTGATGACTCCAAAACTAACAACTTCAATAAAATATTTATGGTAAAAAATTAAGTGTGAAAATTTTAATTAATTATTTTATTAGAACATAATAAGCAACAAGTAGGTAGATTTTAGTACAGTTTAGTAAATAATTTATCACTGTGAAGATTATTAACATAGCATAGCAACAGGCAAAATAAGAAAGCAAACTTAAGTTCATATAAATTGACCATAAAGATAATGTGGTAGAATACAAATTCCATCCAACATGAAAAATCTCAACAAGCTAGGATTCCAATATACACATACAAAATGTAATAAGCATTTTTAAGTAGTGAAGTCTTGGGGAGTCGATGTTAAGGAACAATTTAAAATTGCCAGTTTTCACTGTTTTCAACACTGTTTTGAAAATTCTGGACAATAACTTAAGGCAAATTATGTGATAATAGATTTATCTCCTATAAGGTAAGAGACTATATTATGTCACATGTTTAGAGAGCTGGCTATGAAATCATTGAAGTGAACAATTATAAAAATATAAAAGTGAAGGCTAATTGACAGAATATGCACCTACAGTAAACAATTTAATTCCCATATAACAATGACATAATTTGTACTTATGGTGAAGCAAAGTACACCACTTACAGTATTAGAAAAAATGTGAATTCCATACGTCAAAATGCACATGTGGGAAGATTTTAAAAGTGATAATTATTATTAAATGTTATCTGCATATACAAATGCAGCAAAATGAATTCCACTATTCTACATAACAAATACGCAATAATAAAATTTATACAGATGCCTTTTTCAGATTATGACTAACCTATTTTAAAATCTAAAGAAGTGCTATAGTTTAAACTACAATGGGCATGTAATTGTGGTTTTTTATTTACCAACAAACTTTTGTTTCTGAAGAATAACATTTTATATTAAGCCATGACTGTGCTTGATTCATCCTTGTTTCACAAGAAAATGACTCTTTTCTTCAAAAGTGCAATTGCTCTTACTTTTACTAGCATTGCTTTATAAATAATTAGACAGTTACACCCTTAAAAATAAGAGCTTCTGCTGGGTAAGGCACACAATCACCTTAATGAGCTGTCTTATGACAAGGGATTTACATAGTCTAATCTAAAACTCACAATACCTCAGTAACAAATAGTGTTTCTGTTTAAATGATAGACATACATGCTCTCTTTTCTAAATTTGTGGATGTGTTTGTGAAATACATTGTTTCTTCAATAGATTATATTAGCAGATGGCATGTTTATATATATACCATGAATGTGAGACTAAGAGAATTTTTATTATTATATTAGTCAGCCTTTTGTGACTGTAACATAACACCTAAGAAAATAAATTTTGAAAAAGGGAAGTTTCATTTTGGCTCCTGGCTTCAGTCCATGGGCACTTGCCCTGTTGTCTTTGGACAAGGCAGTACATTATGGGGATGAAGATGAGTATGTGACAAAGTAAAGCTAACTTATCTCATGATGGCCAGGAGGCAAAAAGAAAGAACAAAAGAAAAAGGTAGAGATAGAGATAGATGATAGAGATAGAGAGATAGAGATAGAAAGGTAGAGATAAGGACAGAGACAGAGACAAAGAGAGAGAGATAGAGATAGAGAGAGATAGAAAGAGACAGAGAGACAGAAAGAGAGATGGAATCTCAATATCCTTTTCAAGGGAAGACCTTCAATGACCTAACTTCTTTCTTTTGCTAGACCTCACCACCTTTCAAAGGTGCCACAGGCTGGAGAAAGTGCCATTCGCATATGGGCTTTGGGAGATTTCCCAGATCCAAACTACAGCACTATGTCACATAACACAACTAGTGGGTAAGATTTTGGACTTATACATCAGTAAATATTTATTATTTATATAACATCATTCAATTTATTTCAAAAGTTTGTACAATATATCAAAATACATGTTGAGATTATTGTCTAGCATTGTCATTTATATATCCCAGAATATATTGGATGTATTAATCAGTGTTCTCTAGAGAAACAGAATATATATATTTTTTCTCATATTCCACATGAAAACTTAAATATGAAATATAGAAATTAATAAATTCCTGTTTATTCTGGGGTAATAAACACATATACAGAGAGAGAGTGAGAAGGGAGACAGATACAGAGAGAAAAGAACAAGATGTGTGTTAGCAATCTAAAATTTTTCTGTTTCAGTTGTGTGTTAATGGATTGTACCTTTTCTCATTTCTGTCTTGGTTCATAACTGAAGGCAAAACCTTTCAAGGTTAAAGCTACTTAAAAAAATTTCCACCCCCCCCTTACACTATTTAATGTTATTTCCTATGGAGTGGGAGCAGTGGTCCATGTCCCATTAAGTGTGCATCACTAGGGCATAATATTTCCTTTCGATGTGTAACCTTTGTAGTGAGTCACTGTCTGATACGGCTTTAAATGTTTACACATCTGTCATTCAATTAGATCTTGAGTTCTACAAGGGCAAGGTCAATATCCTGTTTGTCTGTGTGTCCTTGGGACTTAATATGATGATGCAGAAAATATACCAGTTTGATTGAGAGAAGGGCAATGACCAGAAGAAGGAAGCTGAGTTGGAAAGCCCCTCAACAAATTTCTGTAACTTTGAGCAATCCAATTGGAGGCTCCAGACTCCCTTACTTAATTTACTTCAACTAGTGAAATGAGGTCAAGTTACTAGATAATGTCAATATTCAGTCTTTTAAAAACATCCTGTACTACCAGGCTTTTCAGGTGCTCAAAAACTACTCCATGGGCACATTACTACTCCAGCCTTGGTATATCTTAGACTAAGCCATTGTCTACAAAGTATCCTCAATTGACCTTATGTTTACCACTTCATTTATGAGCAGAATGTCTTGCATAACCAAAAATATATATTATTTTGTAATGTCTTGAGATGATAACCATTATTTGAGTTCCTTAAGTAGTGAAATAACTGAAGAATAAGCAAGCCTTTTATTCATAATGTGTATATGTAGCCATAACAGTTGTAAAATTGAGTTTAGAAATGCTAAGACAAAAGAGCTTATAGAGGACTGCAAATGATGCATTAATTTTAATAGGAAGATTCACACAAAAGATATAGTTATGAAAAATAGCTCCCAGCAATATGTAATATAACAACCACTGTGAATTTCTATCATTTTGTTTTGAAACCCTGTATCATTTTTATTGTTCTTGTTTTGTTTTTGTCTATGTTGCAGTTATTTCGTTATTTTTTATTCTCATTAAAATAGAAATAAAAATAAACAAAAATAGTGATAACTCCAATTTCTTATTTTTCCTGGATGATGTTCACATAATACTTCTATTATCAATTGATAAATTCATTGCAGGTAACAAAATTGTCCCATTAGTCAAAAATATTTGAGTCAAGCAGTAAATATGTCAAGTAAATTACCCTAGCCAGGCATGGTGGTGCACGCCTGTAATCCCAGCACTTGGGAGGCTGAGGTAGGATGATCCCTATGAGTTCAAGGCTAGCCTGGGCTACACAGCGAGACCTACCTCAAAAACAAAACAAAAAGATTTACTCAAGTAAGTTACCCTAAAAGGGAGACTTTTGCTATCTAATTATTTGAAGATTATGCTTGAATATTGAAACATACTATATTTGTGTCTTATGATCATGGGTGCTAAAGCAAAAAAGGTCCAAGAACTCTTTCCAATGATAATTTTGACTGAATATCATGTAGAAAACATCTTGTCTGATGAATTAGACCCTTTGTTCTAGAAAGCTTCCTTAATCATTTGTATTCTTGTTAATTTTCCTCTTAAGCCTTACTGTATTAAACTTAGTATCAGCATTTTTACAATTAATTCTATATTTTAGGATTTATATGTGTTTGAGAAATATAGACTTTGAATTTTCAACACAATTCATCTCAGCATCTTTATCACAACCTGTAGAAGTTTTTATTTCATGTAAAAATAACAAAGAATATGAACATAATTTTTTGCCTATTTTAAAATCATGTCTTTATTAATGATTTGTAATAGTTCTTTACATATTCCAGATATAAGCTCTTTATCAGATAAAAGAGTTGCAAAGAGTTTTTAGCTTGTCCTTAGGCATGTGCAAGTTGTTAGCACATTTCCTTACTATTTTTTTTTATTTTAAAGATAGAAGAACAAAACATCTTAATGAACACAAGTACATTTAGAAAATAACACAAGAAGAGCACAAGCAATACAGAATCTCAGACAAAGTGATAGGAAATTAACAATGATTGTTGTATTACATACTGATATCTTCAATTTGAATACTCACATAAAAAATATAGACATGTAATACTGATCATACACTTAAACATTAACTGTTCCTCTCAATAGAGCAATAAAAGTCAGTAGTACCACTATGTTAGCTATCCTGTGTATACATATATATATCTTTCCCCTTCTTTCTTTTCTCTGTTCCCTCATCCCAGTTGTTCATTCCTTTTGAAGTTTCCTTCTCTTTCACAACGTCCACTGTACCGTCTAGATTTATTCTATGAATTCTGTTTTCAGTTTCTTGATGATGTCCTTTGAAACACAAAAATTTTTAATATTGATGAAATCATTAAGTTTTAAGATTTTGTTGTTTGTGCTTTTTTTGTATCATACCTAAAAACCATTGCCTATTCTGAGGTCACAAAGACATATTTATATCTGTTTTGTTAAAAGAGTTTTGTACTTTTAGCTCTGATAGATCTTTGACCATTTTTAATTAACTTTCCTTTTTAAAAAAAGAATAGAGTTTTTAAAAAAGAATATGATTTGTTGTTTTATGAAGTCTTTAACACTTTTAGAAAGATACCTAAAAGAGGAGTAGCTAAGTTGAATGGAATTTTTATTTTTAGGAATCTATATGCTGATTTCCATGTTTATAGCAACACAACTCATACTAGTTAAATTTTAAAAGTGGCCTATATGTCCATCAACAGATGA